ATGCAGCTGGAGGCCATTATCCTAAGTGAATTAATGCAGAAACAGAAAACCAAATGTCTCATGTTCTCACTTACAGGTGGAAACTAAACCTTGAGTACACATGGACATAAAGATGGAAAAAGCAGACACTAGGGACTCCAAAAGGAGAGAAGGAGACATGGGGCAAGGGCTGAAAAGCTTCCTATTGGGTGCTGTGTTTATTGTCTGGATAACGGGGTCAGTGGAAGCCCAAACCTCAGCATCACACAAATACCCTTGTAACAAACCTGCACATGTATCCCCTGTATCTAAAATTTAAAAATTATAATTAAAAATCCCTTATGGGATTCAGTAAAAGTGGTGCTAGAAAAAAACGCATAGATTTAAAGGCTTACCTTAAAAAAGAAGAAAAATCTCAAATTCACAAACTAACTTTATGCCTTAAGAGACTATAAAAAGAATAAACTAAAACCAAAGCTGTCAAAAGGAACATAATTAATAAATAATAAAGATTAGAGCAGAAATTTTAAAAACAGAGCAGAAAAATAGACAAAATGAATTGTTGATTATTCAAAAAAACAACAACATTGAGAAACTTTAGCTACATTGTCTAAGGGAAAAAGAGAGAAGATTCGAATAACTAAAGTCAGAAATAAAAGTGGGGACATTACCATCAATTTTACAGAAATGAAAAGGAATAAAAGAGAATACGATGGACAATTATACACCAACAGACTGGATAAAGTAGTGAAATTTAAAAATTCCTATAAAACATAAAATCTATCACAATTGACTCACAGAGACATAGAAAATCTGATTAGATCTATAACTAGGAAGGATATTGAATCACTTATCAAAAATCTCCAAGAAAGAAAAGCCCAGGAGTGCACCCGCCGTGTCCATGGAGACAAGCTGAGGCAGCCGGGCTCCGAGGCACCAGGGCTCCAGGACAGCAAAGATGTCGGCTTCCTTAGTCCGCATAACTAAAAAACTAAAAAACTAGAAAAACTAGGAAAACTAAAAAAACTAGAAAGAGCAAACTGCAGCCCACCAGGGCTGCCTTCATCCTGACACCTTCAGCAGTAAACAAGATAAAACAACTTTAAAGATAAGCCTGAGCATGTAGGTGTAAATGTTGGTGTCCGAACCAGGGACTGTAATGGTCTTTTTTATACTCTAGAATATACAAAGACAAAATGAGATTCTGATGAAAAAGTTATTCAAGATGAAGTCAGAGTATTCATTGAAAAGAAAGCACAGCTAATACTTCTAGGAACAGAAATGGACTATGTTGAAGACAGATTATCCAGTGAGTTTGTGTTCAATCACCCAAACATCAAAGGAACTTGTGGCTGTGGAGAAAGCTTTAATATTTGAAATCTCAGGACTCTTCTAGCCATAGGCTCCAGGAAAGCTCGTGGAAGCCAGGGGACTCACTGAAGAAATCAGGTGACTGTCATGTGCTTAATGTGTGGCTGCCTTATAAGGAAAATAAAGTGATGCATTTTGAAAATGAAATAAACAAAAAAAAGCAAAGTCTAGGAGTAGATGGCTTTACTGGTGAATTCTACTCATTTTTAAAGAAGAATTAACACCAATGATTCTCAAATTCTTCCCAAAAGTTGAAGAGAAAGCACTTCCTAACATTCCATAAAGCCAGCATTACTTTTGATACCAAAGCCAGAAAACAAAACTACAAGAAAAGAAACTACAGACCAATATTCCTTATGAATATTGATACAAAAGTGCCTACCAAAGTACAAGCAAACCAAATTTGGCAACATATTAAAAAGAATATACACTATGATCAAGTGGGGTTTATTCTTAGAATGTAAAAATGGTTCAGCATATGATACTAAATCAATGTAATACACTACATTAATAGCATGAAGAGAAAAAAACAACAAAACCCCACATGATCATCTGAATTGATGAAGAAAAAGCATTTGACAAAATTCAACACCCGTTTTTTAAATGCCCCAAAAATAAGGAGTAAGAAGAAATTTTCCGAACATAGTAGAGTCCATATATGAAAATACACCACCAGCATCATACTCCATGGTGAAAGACTGAAAGCTTTTAGCCTAAGATAAGGAACAAAACGAGGGTTTCCATTTTTGGCCGTATGTTCAACATAGTACTGGAAGTTCTAACTGAAGCAATTAAGCAAGAAAAAGAAGGAAGAAAGGAAGGGAAGAATAAAACCACTTCTGTTCACAGATGACATGATTTTATATGCAGAAGATCAGACACACACAAAACCTGTTACGGCTATTAATAACAAGCAAATACAGCAAAGTTTAGGATACAAAATCAACATACAAAAAATCAGTAACATTTCTATACAGTAACAATGAGCAATTTAAAAAAGAAAATGAAGAAAAAAATTGCATTTACACTAACATAAAAAAATATAAAATACTTAGGAATAAATTTAACCAAGGAAGCAAAAAACTTGTACACTGAAAATTACAGAACATTGCTACAAGAAATTAAAGAAGACTAAATAAATGGAAAGACATCCTTTGTTCAGAGATGATAAGTCTTGACATTATTAAGATGACAATACTAACCAAAGCAATCTCCATTCAGTGTAATTCTTATTAAAATCTTAATAGTGATTTTTGTAAAAATGGAAAAACTCATCCTAAAGTTCATATAAAATCTCAAAGGGCCCCACAAAGCCAAAACAATCGAGAAAAAGAAAGAAAATTTGAACTCTCACATTTCCTGATTTCAAAATATACTACAAAGCTACAACAAAAGCAAAACAATGCAGCACTGGCATAAGGATATACAAATATGTCAATGGAACAGAATACAGAGCCCAGAAATAAATCCTTGCATATTTGGTTGACTGAGTTTCAACAGGGGTTTGCAGAGCATTCACTGGGAAAACGACAGTGTCTTCAACAAATGGTGCTGGAAAAATTGGATATCCACATGTAAAAGAATCAAGTTGAACCCTTGCCTTACACCATTTACAAAAATTAACTCAAATTTGATCAAAAACCTAAAGGTAAGACTATAAAACTCTTAGAAAACACCAGGGAAAACTTTATGACTTGGATTGGGCAATGATTTCTCAGATATTACACCAAAAGCACAGGCAACAAAAAGAGAAAATAGATAAATAGGATTTCATCAAAATTATAAACTTTTGTGCACACCTGTAATCCCAGCAATTTGGGAGTCCAAGGCAGGTAGACTGCTTGAGCCCAGGAGTTCGAGACCAGCCTGGGCGACATTGTGAGACCTCATCTCTACAAAAACAAACAAACAACAACAAAAAAAAACCTTTTGTGCCTCAAAGGGTACTGTCAAGAGAGTGAAAAGGCAACCCACAGAATGGGATAAAATATTTGTAAATCTTGTATCGATAAAGAATCAATATCCGGAGGCTGGATGAGGTAGCTCACGCTTGTAATCCCAACACTTTGGGAAGCCGAGGCAGGCAGATCACCTGAGGTCAGGAGTTCGGGGCCAGCCCAGCCAACGTGGTGAAACCCCATCTCTACTAAAAATGCAAAAATTACCCAGGCATGGTGGCACATGCCTGTAATCCCAGCTACTCGGGAGCCTGAGGCGGAGGTTACAGTCAACCAGGAGGTGGAGGTTACAGTGAGCCAAGATCATGCCACTGCACTCCAGCCTGGGCGATAGAGCAAGACTCCATCTCAAAAAAAAAAAAAAAAAAAAAAAAAAGAATATCTGGAATATATTAACTCCTACATTGTGGTCCCAGCTACTTGGGAGGATGAGGTGGGAGGATCACTTGAGCCCAGGAGTTCAAGTCCAGCTGGGACAACATAAAAAGACCCCACTTCTTAAAAAAAAAAAATTAACTCATTTTTTAAATGGGCAAAAGACTTGAGTAGACATTTCTCTAAAGAATATATACAGATGTCCAGCAAGCACATAAAAAGATGCTGAACGTCACTAATCATTAGGGAAATGCATATCAAAACCACAATGAGGTCCCACTTCACACTTTTTAGGATGACATTCAAACACACACACACACACAAAATAACAAGTGACAAGTGTTGGTGAGGATGTGGAGAAATTGGAATCTTAGTGGGAATGTAAAATGGTTCAACCCCTGTTAAAAACAGTTTGGTGGCTCCTCAAAAAGTTGAACATAGAATTATCATACAGTTTACAATTCTTCTTCTAGGTATATGCCCAAAAGAATTGAAAGCAGGGACTGGAAGAGATATTTGTACATTCATGTTCATAGCAGCCTAATTTATAATAGTCAAAAGGTGAAAGCAACCTGAGTCCATCAACAGATCAATAGATAAACAAAAATTGTGGTAGATGCATATGATGGAATATTATTCAGCCTTCAAAAGGAAAGAAATTCTGACACATGCCACAACATAGATGAACTTTGAGGACATTATGCTAATTGAAATGAGTCAGTCACAAAGGACAAAGACTATATGATTCCATTTGTATGAGGTACCTGGAGGAGTCAAATGCATAGAGATAGAAGGTTGAACGGGGGTTAAGAGGAGGCAGAATGGGGAATTAGTGTTCAATGGGTACAGAAAGATGCCCCAGGCTTACTTCACCAGATTGTAAATTTTTTTTTTCCAGGAGAATGACTCAGTTTATTATTCTCAATTTGACCCTATCTATCCCACTTTAGGCTCAAACACTGCACAGAGCTGCCTCGCCTAACCTCTTAACAATCACATCCCTGGAAGGTGAAGGGGGTAAACCACAAAGTCAGAAACATTGGGAAAAGCCACGGTCGCATGCACACCTCTCAAGGAAACAAACTACAGAAAGGGCTCAGTCATCGTACACAGCAAGTGTGCAGTGGGCAAATGCTTAAGTTCTTTTGACAGTGGCCAAATGCTTAAGTCCCTGGTTTCTTGGGATCAGTCATGGCCCAAGGTTAGTAAGGAGGCCAACAATGTTGTGAGCAGGATTCAATTTCTACAGGGTCATGGGGCATCCTTCACCATGTGAAGGGGCTCCAGCAGGTTGGACATGATCAACAGCCATCCAGATTAGGATCCTGATGCCCTTGCCAGTGCTCGGGCTCGGGCAGCTTTGGCCTCGTCTTCTAGCTCATCTAGGAAACGCTCCTGGGAAATGGAGTAGAAGGTGTAACCATAAAGAGCTAACACCAGGGCCCCGATGCCTAGGCCGGTCACGATGTTCCGGGTCCGCCGCCGCGGTAGGACCTTCTGCCACTGGGCAAGCTGCGCCGGCCGCATGGAATACAGTTGCTCAGGTGTCAGCTTCTCCCCAGTCGGGTCGATACGCTGAGCGAACGGGGCCTCTCCACGCTTAGCATCCAGAGGGTCACCAGCCCCCGAAGCTGCCATGTTGCCGCTCCTCCCTTTGCGGTCTAAAATTTTTAACTTAATACTACTTGAGTCACCTCTTCCCACTTGGACATCCCTGTTCGCAGGACTGTTCACAGCTGAGGGTCATCAGACCAGGCAGGACCCCTATGGTCTGCATGTGTCATGGTGAAGCCCTCCTTCATCCGGCCCACAGGGCCCCTCATTGAGATTTTCTCTTTCTATTGCTGCTTGTCTTCCTCTTTTATCTTCCTCGTGGAGAACGTCTTTCTGGTGTGTGAGAGAAGCCCCCCTCTCTCCCTGTTTCTAGCGAAGATGTTTTGTTTATACCTACAAATGCTTTCCCTTTCTGGGGCTTAGGCTTTTGGAAAGTAGGGTTGGGAAGACTGTAAGTCCGTGTCTTCTTCCTTCCCCACCAGGGCTACCCTAATGGCAAAGGACAGTTACCCTCTGATCCAAGACCGTGAGGAGGTGGGATTCAGAGAAGGGAGCTGGGAGGTCAGTCACGTCCTTATAGAAACAGACCACCAGTAGATCCTACAGGGTTCCAGGCCCAGTGAGGTAGCAGAGGAAGGTTGATACAGAGAGGAAGGAAAAGAGTGAAATTGCCTCCAGGTCAAATTTCACCTTTCTCACAATGTGGTCTGGGGGAGGCTAGCATCTGTGATAACAGAAAAACTTTTCCAAATGCTGATGGCTTCTGGCTGGACATCAAACTTGACAAAGGCATGGATAGATGGTATTTTTATCATTTATCATCTCACTGCTCACTACAAGCAAATCACGTGGCACATAGTAGATTCATTGAGTAAATGAATGAATAAATAAATGGATCAATAAGAAAAGATCTCACCAAGATTACTTTCCTTTTCTCTTTCCTCCCCAAATTAAACAAAACCTGAAAGTAAATTTGATGTGGACCTAGAAGTAGAAGAGACAGTATATTCAGTATTTTTAATGTGCTGAAGGTGCTGAGGTTTCCCTGTGTAACCAAAACACAGGTTCAGTCACTTGCCCCTTGCAGAGTCCAGTGAACAGGAATGAGGTCTGGTATGAAGAAGGTGATTTTGTATTCCAAAGCTAGCTTAGGGGAAGAAGTACAGGCTTCCCTGCCTTAAGGGTACCGCTTCACATTTGGAGCAGAAAGTGGGCACTTTTGGCCAGGAATAGTGGCTCACACCTCTAATCCCAGTTCTTTGGGAGGCCAAGATGGGTGGATCACCTGAGGTCAGGAGTTTGAGACCAGCTTGGCCAACATGGCAAAACCCCATCTCTAATAAAAATACAAAAAATTAGCTGGGCGTGGTGGTGTACGCCTCTAATCCCAGCTACTCAGGAGGCTGAGGCAGGAGAATCACTTGAACCCAAGAGGTGGAGGCTGCAGTGAGCCGAGATCTGTTCTCCAGCTTGGGCAACAGAGTGAGACTCCATCTCAAAAAAATAAATAAATACAATAAAAAGAAAGCGGGCACTTTTAAAAGGGGACCTGGCATGAATGACATGCAGGGCAGGAAGTGAACAGGTAGGGGTCCACATACTACCTTCAGTGCCTTATCTACCAGGTAGTCAAGTTGGTGCCTTGGAGGGTAGAACTAGGTTATAAAGATGGCCGAAACTCTCCAGGTGGGAGACAGTTTCATAGCAGGCATACTTTGAATTGTAAATTGATTGTTGTCCTCAAGGCAGTTTCCTGGTGGGAGACAGTCCCACTCTAGAGCTTCTAAGCACATAGATGAACTTGCTCTGTAGGAAGTGTCTGGTGAAGGGGAGGTAGAAGGTTATAATTGCATTTCTGAAAGACTAAGTAGGAAGTGGGGAGCATGGAGAAATAGAGAAAAGAGAAAAGAAGAGAAGTAATAATAATAACAACTCATTCTCTATCTCTTAGAAAAAGGGTAGAAAAAGGGGGTTACTCAGTTACACCTACACATCTATTTCGAGATTTCTTTTTCAGCAAAGCATTCCTTGACCACACACCAGGTTCTGCCTTAACTGAATGTTTCTCTGGCTGGTGGGACCCGAGGACCCTACCTCTTCCAGACACTCTACCTATGTGGAGATGCCTCCTGGGGACTCCTTCATGGGCATCACCAGCTTTGTCTTCACAGCGAGGCATCCTTTGGCTGGTGCTAGGGGAGTGTGGGCAGGTAGAGTGGGTGGCTTTTACTGCAGAAGGGCAGGCAGACACTGAAAACGAGGGAAGACTTTCCTAGCATTGTCCCGATAGCAGCAGAGGCTGTTTTTCTAGATATCACAGGGATATTCTCATGTAATCTGATGATAACTGAAATGAGTGACTGAAGCAAAAGTCTCAGTCAATCAAGGTTTATTAAGCCAGCTTGAGGGAGCATCCAGGAAAAACACAGACACATCTGTGGCTGTTTTTTTCTAAAAAGGTTTTCAGAAGGTTTAGTATTTATACATTTCCTTAAAGGGGAGAAGGCAGGTAGGAAGATGGGCAGGTAGGTGGTAAGGTAAATGGTCACATTATTGTGAGACTTTAGTTAGTACCCACTAAATCTACATTTTACATAAGATAAGGTGAATGTTTGAAGAGAAAAAAGGGAGTAAATGAAGAACTGATTATGCAGACTTCTCCGGATAGGTGGAGGAATGATTGGTCTCATCTTGTCTATGTTTTGCACCTGGGAAGGTAAGTTTGTAACTGACATTGTCAATATAGAATGAACTGACTAGTTTTTGGCTCTAGCTGTAGACTGTAGATCTAACGTTATAATTGACATGTGCTTGTTTATGGGAGGTTGGCAAAGAATTTACTTATGAATGATCCGTGGGGTGGTCCTTTGTAGATGCCTGAGAACTTTTACCTTCCAGTGGGGAACCGCATAATGCTAGTAACAGCTATTCATTTGGAAGAGAGCATCATATGACTCAGTCTCCAGGCTTAACCTTCCTTTTTGCATAAGGACTTTGGGGGTCCTGAGAGTTTTTTATTTTCCTTTACACCAAATTATACCAACAAACACAAGGGCCAATGAAAGAGGATTCAGCTGCATAGTGGGTCCCAGAGCCAACTATTAAGAGATGAAAGGACATTAGGTTAAATAAAAATTCCAATCAAAAAGTGAGGTTTGGTTTTGGGTTTTTGTTTGTTTTATTTTGTTTTGTTTAGGGAACAAAAGAACCTTGTGAAAGGGTTCTAAGCAATGAGTTAGGAGACCTCAAGTCTAAGATGAGCCAGGGGCGTCAAGTAAGCTGGTAACAGCACCTTGCCTTATAGGCCAGCAGGCCTTGGTCTTACGTTATGGGTCACATAGCCTTAGTGTCATGGGTCACAGAATGCCCTAAGAGTAAACTGATGAAAATGATGAAAATGACGGGCCAGACAACTGAGGAAGCTGCACATCAGCACCCGCTGAGTTGTTGCAAACTATTTTTTAATTGCATTGGAAATGTGTTCGATCATATAGGCAGAATGTAAAATCAACCTAGAGAACATAACAGGATATTACATTGGACTTTTCCGGTTGTGTTAGGATCTTTGCTGAAAAGAACTCTTAACAAGCACCTGCACCTTCTAAAGGAACATACTTGAAATAATTGCTAAAAGGTGGCCAAATACTAGTTCTTTGAATTTTAGCCAATCACACACCTCTAGGCTACATAATGGAAAAATGAACTTATTAAAGGGATGTGAAGATGCCTTTAAAGAGAGCTGGAGTGTTGGTTGGGTAAATTACTCCTGCCTCTGGGAGGAAGTCACCTCCTGTCCACCCCCACCTAGCCTAATAACCAGTCCCAGAAGAGGGGAGTCAAGGCTACCCTCTCACCTGAGGATGTAATTGAGGAGTCAAACCAGGAGAGAAAATGGAAGTGAGAATCAAGGGCATCCATGTGAAACAGAGAAAGGAAAAACCACTCGGTGGATCCCCAAGAGTGCTGGTTCAGCCTCCGTCCTCCCCTGCTGGAATCCCACCTGCCTTTCGAGGCCCAGATCCATCTGCCATTCTGGAAGCCTCCTGCAGCTGCCAACTTCGACAGTGATCTCTTGACCCCCTTACAGCGCACCTGGCCATTGTGGGCCCTCGGATGCTGCCCAGGTATCATGGCAGCAGCACTCCCTGGGTTATAAGTGACCTCTGTCACATGCGTCTTTCACCCCATCCCCAGCCCCAGAGAAGACAAACATCTCACCTCTCCCCATTCAGCGCCTTGCCAGAGGTGCTCAGAAAACAATTCATGAGTGATTACACAGCTAGTTAGGTACAATTCTGCAGGCCATTTGTCTAAACTCAGTCCCAGGCCATCGAAGTTACTCCAAGCTGGATACTGGATACCTCTAATTCTCCTTATGTGTTTCCAGCTGGGTTCTGAAAGATACAAGATACCTATCTTTCTCAAACATATTGTCTCCAGGCTGGATCACCCAATGGAAAGGCCAAGAACATGCTTAGGGCAATGGCAAGATAGGGAGCCCAACACTTTTTTTTATGTGATGATTTACATAGGCATCATGAGAAAAACTGGCCTTCTTAAACAGATGGCTTAGCGTCGGATCTGCTTTTAGTCGCACATGGGTGACTGAGGTGAGATGTGCCAGGTCTTTTCATGCTTGGGGCTCCTACTCTGCTGGCACCGACCCACGCCTTCTAAGACTGTGACTTTTAAAGGTTCCTGCAGCACTTCCTGTGCAGGTCTGCTCCGTAGCTCCAGGCGCTACGCCTTCTCAACCCACAGGTCAGAGAATAGAGACCCAGCAAGGGTCAGGGATCTGAGTCCAGGGGTGGGGAGCCCCCTGGGTGGGGGATTTATTCGAGGGCTGGGGCAGATGCTATGGATGAGGCTTCCCCACTCCCTGCTGTGCAAGGAGAGCCCGTTGTTGGCATTGCCAGCACACCACCAGCAATTGATCCTCCGGCTCAGAGCCCATTTACCTGAGCAACTTGCTGCAGTGCTCTGAGGTTCCATTTCCTCCATTACAAAACAAAGCTAATACTATCATATCTCTCTGGTCTAATGCCAGAACTTTAATTAGGCTTAAATGAAGCATAGGAGAAAAC